AGTAAGGTACTCACACTACTCAGGGCTAGAGTGTTCTCCCACTTAGAGTGCAGATAAAACAACCAGCCTCGGTGTGCCTGTGAGGTAAAATGTCAGTACTGTTCACTCAGTACAGTCTTAATAAAGTGTTTGAGATCTATTAGCTGAACTATTATCATCGTAGTTTCACCAACATTATTTTCCACACTTTATCGCCCATTCGCATCTTCTCTAGTGCCAGGCTTGCATATGTGTGGCACAGTTTGCACTTCTCTCTGAGGTAATTATTGTGGGAATTTTGACATCTTTTAAAAAATCATTAGTATTGGTTCCCCCCCCCCCCCCATTAAGTGAAGTAATGGGGTGTGGAGGTCACGCACTGTGCTGTGTATGCTTGCCATGGCGCACACCCTTGTTTATGGTGCTTGGACATGTACTAGTTGCAGTGCACAGGCAGTCCCAAAGAGCAGTGCCTCTGGAAATTGAGTGCATGCAGCATGTGGGATGGTGCCACAAATACAATTAGGAATACCTGGACTCTGCCACTCAACTCTTTGGGTCCATGATGTCTTTTTCTTTATCTTTGTGTAATGTCTTTTAAGTGATTCCTGCCATCCCTTCTCCCACTGCACTCACTCTTGGCAACCTTTTTTTCCAGTGGAAAAAATAAATCACAGTGAAAATATCACAAGCAAGTGAGTTTCTGCCACATTCTCTTTACATTTTATTTCAGTGGCCTGTCTGGGGTAGGACTGGTTACAGTGTGGGGAATGTTTATATTTTAGATTTATGAAATCATGGACTTGTTATCATACAAAAAGGAGTTACTGCAATTCTTTGTTGGGGCTTAACACGAAGGCATCAGGAATGGATGGATTAAAACCCGTGTAGGGTTGGAACGCATATAGGAAAGACAAGATAGTTTCAGATTGAAAACTCCATCTTGGCCAAATGCCGTTTTGAAGATGAATGTGAAGTGATGGTGCTTGGGATAGTTTCAAAGCAGACAGGGCTTGAGCTCAGCCCCTGAGGGCTGTGTAGGACTGAATTTGTTCTAGATTTTTAGGAAGGACTTTTTGTGCAAGAATAGGAGTATTTTATATTAGATCTACATTTCTGGAATGAGCAAGTTAGGAAACATCAACTAATCCCTCCATGTCCGTTTTCCCCCCAGATTTTAATTATATTAAAGCCCTATGAATTACATTATTCATAGTTAGGATTTTGATATACACTATTCTATCACCAGTCCTGCCAGCAGAGTCAGTTTCCCTCTATACCCATTTTAATACGCTATATATTTATCCGTCTCCCCCTGCCATCCTCCCTGGCTTTTTCAGGGATAATTTTACCTTTTGGCCTTTGCCCTGCAGTAGTATGCTCATCTTTCCACACCTCAGTTCTTTGTTAAAACAAGAATATTCTCTACCTTTCTTGAGCTAGTGTTTCTGAAATGTGAGCACAAATGATTATTTTTTTTAGAAGGAGGCAGTAGAGAAATAACGGTTAACTGGAAGAATAAAATGCATCACAGAAAGAATCTGTGGTTGGTTGCCACTTGGGTTTGCATTTTCTCAGGGTCTCTGTTCCAGACACCATCTGGGGGATCTCTGCAGTTTTCGCCCTGGATGGAGCTTTTTTCTGCAGCCAACTGAGACCTGGTTTTAGCCTGGCACTTTCTTACTAGGCATCCTTCCAGATGTATCTCATCTTTCTGGAATAGCTTCTGTATTTCCTCTGGTATATTCCCTTGGTTGCTTGGGGTCGGTCCAGATAGTGCTTGGAAGATCATGGGCGCTGGAGGTCGAACTTGGATGGGCTGCTTGCTGCGCAGGTGCTTTATCCCTTTTCTCCAGCTCCTTATTCTGTGAGGTCTGAGGCTTGCAGGCTAGGAAGGATTCTTCCAAAAGCAGCTCCTTTATGGAATGTGCTTGTAACTTCTGTCAGTTCATCATTTTTATTAGGTATAAGGAAATTATTTTTAAAATCATGAAAAAACAGTGATTGTTATATTATTTCATGATTTGGGGTTTTTTTCTGTTTGTCAGATGAGACAAGAAACATTGACATTTGCCTCAGATAAGGTATTTGAATTGGGGAGAAATCCAGCTTTACTCTTATAAATGTGATTTAAACCAGCTTTATTTTTAGTTTTTTTAATCATTAAAAGTCTTATTCCATGTTCTCTATATTTTTCCGATTTATTAAGTTTATTAAGTTTTATGTGTAGAGACTAAAAAGAAAAGAGTTAAACCACCTTTAAGAATGTTAAGTCACTTTTCTAATCTGTTCATCACTTTCCTTTTTTTGATTTTGGGGTCATACCCAGCAGTGTTCAGGGGCTGCTAGGGGTCATACCCAGCAGTGTTCAGGGGCTGCTACTGTTTGTATTCTCGGGGGCTGCTCCTGGTGGTTCTTAGGGAATGTAGAATGGGGTTCAGAACTTGGCTTCCTGCATACCACACAGAGTCCCCAATGCATTGCTCATACTGTTAGTCCTGCTAGCCACTTTAGTAATCTCCTAGGTCTCATAGAGCTCAGTGGTGGGTACAGATCTTATAGGCCTGAGGTTCTGAGTTTGTTCCCTGGCAATGGCCCGCATGGTGAGTGCAGCTCTGACAGCCCTGTCCCCTGTGAGCCTGGCACCATAGCAGCGTGAGCTGTGGAACACCACAACCCCATCACTGAAATAACAAAGGGAAGGGAAGGGGGAGGAGATTGCCTGGTCCCTAGTGTCATTATGATTTTGTGAATTTCAGTTTTTTAATTGACTTACCACTACTTTATATTTTCTGGTTTCAGGGTTCTAGCTTCGTTCCTTTAGATGTGTGTAAATATTACCACTTCCACCAGCAGAGTTACCACTCCATTCATTCTTCCCACCATTCACTCCCTTTCCCTTTGGTCACTGAGTTGAGTTGGTTTTGTTAGTTCATGCCGACCCATTTGCTTTTATAATTTGTTATCCACATACGAGTGGATCCATTTAATAATTGCCTCTTACATCCCTATTACACTTATTCACCCCAAGTTCCTTCCAGTTTGTCCTAAAAGGCACAATTGAATCTGTTTTAATGTCAGAGTATATACCTACTGGGTATATTCATCACAGCTTCTTACCCAATCTTCTGTCATGTGATCACTGCTGCTGTGATTGTAGGGGTTGCAAACATACATCAACTTTGTTATATCATGTCTTTGGTTAAGTGCCTGTCTGTAATGATGGCTGGAGAATATGGAATTTTCATTTCTATTTTTGAAATCAATCTTCATACCTTTTTCTATAGTGGTGTGTAGTAAGTGGATTTAACTCTGATTTAGATGACTGAAACATTGCTTGATCTGTTTCTCTCCATTCTACTTTTTAAAATTTTTTTTATTTTATAAAGTAGTTCACAATATTTGATTACATTTAATATTCACACAACAATTCCACCACCATTACATTTAATATTCAAACACCAGTTCCACCACCATTATACCTTCCCACCACCATATTTTGGGTGTTTCCATCCAGAATCCCAATCCCTGCCCCAAAACATAACCAAAATAATATAATATTTTCCCCTAAAGTTGGTTGCCTCCTACTTTGAATCGTATCAAATGTGGTGCAGTACTTGTGGAGTATGGGTAGGGTGTATTCCTATTAAGTGTCTCGTGGCTGCACATCCAGCCACATGGTCCAAGAAAAGGTTCACTCTTGGGTGAGGCTCAGCCCAAGTGACGAGTGGCCGTGAGCATGGCGGCAATTGAGTTCTGGAGGTTTTCACCTGCTGGGACTGGGTCCCTTGGGGTGAGGAGGGGTTTCACGCGCCCCCCCCCCCCTGGGGTGCCCTGAGTGAAACAGCCTGGCATGGGTCTGGTGGCATGATTATGGTGAGCATCATGTTGCTTCCTTCTGGGAGAGAAGGATGTGTGATATGGATGGTGGCTGATGACAAGATTATCTGGCGCCAGCCGGGGTGGTTTAGTTCTCGGTCCCGTTGATCCTAGAATTTCTCTCTATTCTTAATCTAAATGACTTGCTTTTAGATTTGTGGGGGTTTCTTATTGTTGTTCCACCCTATCATTTGCTGAACTGTCACTTGTAGGAAGCCTTCTTGAGAGGGGAGCACTTGTGAATACTTTGACTGTGAGACCATCTCACTCCCAAATCACCCAGGGAGGAGAACCCAGGCTGAAATGTTAGGAGAGCGGACTTTTCAGTGTTTCAGAAGCAGGCCTGCACCTTCCCTGCCCTCCATATTTCTGCCCTCTGGTTTTCTCTTTTGCTGTCTGTCTGTCTGTCTCTCTCTCTCTCTCTCTCTTGCTCTCTCTTGCTCTCTCTTGCTCTCTCAATCTCTTGTTTCCTTACTTCCTTACTTTCTTGTTATCTTGCTTTCTTCTTCTGACTCTCCATCTTGCTCTTGCCTCTGCTGCTCCCTTGCTCTCATTTTGTCCCTCTCATTCTCAGTCAGAGGACTGATCCCTATAACTCATCCAGCCAGAGGTGGAAACCCTTCGTATTGGTCTTCACAATCCTGTGAGGCTCATATGAAAGGTTGTGTTCATAGATGGGGAATGAAGGCTGATAGAAGTAGAGTGATTGATATAAGATGGTACAAATTGCTCTGTCTAGAATCCTGAGCCTTGAGTCTCCCTGTTTTTTTGTTCTTGAGTCACACCTTGTGTTTTTAAGGCGTTATTGCCAGCACAGTTCTCAGTGGTCACTTCCTGATACTGCACAGGGGACTGTGCGGTACTGGAGATTGATTCCAGGTGTCCAGCACACAAAGCTTATGCTTCGACCCTTTGAGATACACCCTGGTCCCTGAAATCTACCTTTTCACCTTTTGGGCCCTTTACTGAATATTTCTTAGAATTTTGAATCTGGCAGGCATATATTGAGGAAGTTTCTTAAAAATATGCAATACCTTTACCAAATCACATAGATCATTGACTAATACAGAATCTTTTGGTGTAACTCTTCCCAGAATGACATTTGAAAATTGAAAGTAATCATTGCTTGCTTTTTCTTTTAGCTGAAGTGAGTAGTGAATACAGCATGGACAAGGCGATGGTTGAATTTGCTATAATGGATCGGGAACTAAGCCATTATGTTAAGGCTGTTCAATCTACAATAAATCATGTAAGTCTGCACCTCTTACCTGGCTATTTTTAATGTCTGACCTGCAAGTAGAAACACATGCGTTGACCTGGAAACAGAAACATAAAATTAAAATTCTTCTCTAACCTCTAGTACTTCTTTTTCTTACTGTAGCAGCTACTAATTTCATTTTAATCAGGAAGTTCCTGGAATAGGAATCTTAAATATTTTCCCAGCTAGGCCACCCACATTTAATGAGGATATTACATCTAGTTTAGGTTTTCACGCATTTTGGGGGGTCTCACAGCTTTTAATTTAAAGCCTCTTTTCAAATATGGGACTTCTGTTAAATGCCAAGACAAGTGCAAAGTTTGCGTCTATCATTGTATTTGCTTAAACATACGACTGAGATCAAATCTAGCTTTTCATTCTCTAGTACGTAATTGATACACTTCTATAGCAAATCATAGCATTAGATAATGGGGAAGAGTTTCAAAGCAGGCTTTAAAAGGTTGGCATTTTGGTTACTTCAGACATCAAACTTGAGTTTATTGTCTTCAGCTATCCCAGGAACAAGGCATAAAGCAGTTAAGGTGAGAACATAGCAACGTCCTTTTTAGTAGTACCATGTTGAGTAAGAAGTGAGCAATATGATTGCAGTAATGTTTCTGAGAAGTCCTTTGTCCTCTGAGCAGTGGAAACTCCCCTTTGAACTGATTTCATATACCTGTGTAATAGGATGTCCTGTACTTCTGGTTTCTTTATTTGCCTTTTCTTTTTTATATCAATGGGAAAATTTTGAAAATCAAATACCTCCCAAGATTGAAAACTCTACAATAAAGATACGTTTAAATGTATGATTTAAATATATACTACTTAAATGAGCATTGCATAGTTATTTAGTGTGAAAGTTACGAACACTCTGCTGCTTTAAAAATGTTTTTCTTTTTTTTAATGTTTAATTTTAAACATCAGATGTTTGCTTAAGCTCATATGCTAATGTGCATGCAGGATGAAAGACCACTGCCTGAAAGAGGAAGGCCAACAATAGAATAAAATGTGTTTGCTCCCAAAGTTCAATTAGGCCTGCCTTAGTAGTTGATCTTGCTGGGACCCTATGTATCTGTTGATGTTGTTTGATAGGCCTTCGATCTTTAACTTTGACGTTGCACAAATCTAATAGTACAGTGTACATTATAGATTAGAAAACAATTTTGGAGGTTAAAGAACTTCATTGGGGATTTTCCCCCCCATTAAACTATAGGATACATAGATAACTTAAGGTATTTTTACATAAAGAACTGAAGTCTTCAACCTCACTCATAGTAGTTAGCATTTCTTATAGCTTGAGCCCACACCCCACGCCTCCACTACTAAACAGAAGGCTGATTCTGTTGAGTTTTATCCCACTTTTCAGCCCCACCTCCACAGTAGACTATGGAACTACTTGGATTGAATCATTCTGATGCTTGTCAGGACAGTGCCTGGTCTTTCCCTGGAGAAGACGATGTCTTACTCTCCTTTTCTCTTTTAGAGTTGTGCTTTTATGACAGTTTGATTCAAGACTAAGAGTAGCAGTTTACAAATTTATAAGGTATCTAATGTCTGAATACATATGTGCCATACAAAAATAGAACTATTACTTTGAGGGTAAATATTTTATACTTTTTTTTTGTGGGGAAAGCACACCTATCAGTGCTCAGGACTTATTCCTGACTTTGCACTCAGGAATCACACCTGGTGGAGCTTGGGGAACCATATGTAGTACCAGGGATTGAACCCAGGTTTGCCACGTGCAAGTTGATCCCAGTACTATTTCTCTGGCCATATATATGTATATATATATATACATACATATATATATACATATATATACACATATATATATATAGTACTCTTTAGATATTTGAACTGATGGACATTTTTATCATGCTGTTTAGGTGGGAGGTAAAGAATGAACAAAAGCATGTAAAAGGTCAGAATGAAATAGTTCTTTAGAAAGACCTGTGGTCTTGAATCAGAAAGCCGCCTTCAAATTCCAATTCCAGTAGACTTTCTAAGTTGTGATCCTTAGTCAAGAATCTTAAATTCATAGAGCCTATGTTTTCTGTCTATAAAACCTTTGAGCTGCCTTTTTACAAGATCAGTCTGAATTAAACTAGTTACACCGTACCAAAGCACTTTGGTATTTATAAAATTTGATGGCTCCCTAAAATCCTCAGTTAATGCAAACTCATACTTCTAGAGATATTCCCTTTTAAAAACCAGTTCTTTCTTCTGCTTGCTTTATTCATTTTATAAAATAAAATGAAAATTTTATTGGCTTTGACCTATCCTACCCTGGAATTCAAAAATCATATTAGGATTTAGATATAAGCTAGTTAAGGTTACAATATGAGGTATTTATGATGTCTCAAACAAAGAAATTTTTTTAAGTAAAGTTAGTAAGAAAAAAATCTAGGTAATAGGAATCCATAGGTGTCCCAATGTAATTGCTGCTTGGTCACAGACTTTTAAGAGCTACTCATCTTGCATGCAGTCCTGTACCATTTGCTTAGATTCTGATCCACCCTTTATGAGTTTTCATAGTCATTGAAAGTGAAAATTTTGCTCAAGTCAAAGAGCATTAGAGTTTATTGTTTAAATAAATAGTTCCTTCTCTCACCTTCACAGAATCTTGAAGGTTATGCTTTCTGGAAAGGCTTGAGAAGTTTGTTTTGGAACCTTAGAAGCCTGGGTCAATTTACTAGCAATCCCTGGGAAGTCCCTTCGGCCTTCAGCAGAAGCTCTCAGATTGCCTTTCATTGTTCTTTGAGAAAATAGAACTACTGTATTCTGCAATGCCTAAAGCCTTTTTTAAAAAATGTGAAATCAGTATTTTTATCAGTGCTTTTAAAGATTTCACCAGCAAGTAGTACTCTGCCTAAGTTGATTTATAAGAGGGGGGTGTCAAGAAGTTCTCTGATCAACCATAGATCATAACAACAGAAAAACCCTTTTGGGATAAGTGGGTTATATACCTGTGACATCTTTTTTCATATCAAACCATACAGTATTCTATTATGAACTCTTTAGAGGCTTTCAATCATGAGATTCACATGTGATAAAAGTGTTTTGAAAGCTATAAAATGGCATACAGATCCTATGGAGCAGTTATTTCTTTTATCACTGTTAGTGCCAGAGAAAAACTCTGTTATGCAATGTTGAGAATAGATTGATGTACTGAACATTAGACTTTTGATGACCCTAAGGCTCCTTACTCTTGATTTCTAAGTTTTTGTTGTTTGAGAACAGAGAAGGGGCCTCACTGGCTGCTTTTTGTTTTTCTGTTTGTTTTTTGTTTTTTTATTCTCAGCTGTTCATTTGAATAAGTTATCAGTGAAGCATCCATACCCGAGTGCTAGGTGCTTCTAGATGCCAGAGGTGGAAGGTCAGTCAGCAGAGCCCATGGGCAGAGAGAAAGAAGTATGGCTAACACTGCAACACTGCATTTAGGGACTGCTTTAGGTTTTCCAAAGGTTTACAGAGTTTGTGGCAAACGAATTACTTCAGGACATAGTTTAGCTGAGGGTGCTGGAAGACTCCTTTCTGAGCAAGTGATGTGTATCTGGGATGAAAGTTGAATGAGCCCTAATATGGCATTTGCAGTCTAAAATTTTCATAGTAATTTTCACTGAGATGGAGGTGTCCACTTTTCTGATTATTTTGACGTCAGAATTTCAGATTGCCTCGATCAATGCAAAGATTCAATTTGGGAAAATTGGGCAAGAGAAAACCTCTCCCCCATGCCCGTTCCCACCCCCTAGTACCTGAGATCAAACCCAGATCCTCCACGTGCAAGGCAAGCGCTTTGCCGCTGAACCACATCCCCAGCCCCTCCAAAGGCCTGTTAGAGTATGTGGAGTAATTGTCCAAGATTTGTCAGTGTGTGTTCATTTAGATACCTGAATACCTGCTATAGGACCTTTGCTTAGCAATACCAGTCATGGCCATGTTTGACCTCAGAATAATTTGGGAGCTGGAGAGAGTTTAGTAGGTTGTACTGAACTGTTAGCCAGGAGCCCCAGCATTCATCCCCAGTACCTCATGGTCCTGCAAGCACTGACAGGAACAATATGCCTGAGTACAGAGCCCAGTAGACCCAGTGCACTGCTTTGCTGCGGCCCCCAAACAAAACAAAAAGGAACAAACAAAAAGGAATTTTGATATTCTGCTTCTCAAGCTACTTTTCTAATTCAAGCAGAAATGAATACTCTTGAAACAAGACTTTTTATTATATTGAACATCAATGACAATGTTGTTTATTTCTGTTTCCATATAGGATTTTTATAGGATTTTAAAAAAAATAAATCTGTAGTCTCATTTTACAAACTCCAAAGCCATGAGCTGAACTTTTTTTTTAAGTAAGAGATGATAAAGAATCAGTCATTATTATGGGGTGGTCCTTATGACTTTTGGGGGAACTCCTTAATTCTCTCTCTCGTTCTCTCTCTCTCTCTCTCTCTCTCTCTCTCTCTCTCTCTCTCTCGTTTAAGGACAAAGCCATCAAATGAAATGATGAATAGCTAGACAGGTTCAGATTGAGCTCACATATTCTTAGCAGTCTTTGTGCTTTGGGGTGAGCAGGTGAGTCTTGGAGCTCAGCAAAATGACTATATGCTTGACATTTGCTCACGGTTGCTTTTTTCATTGTGACGATTGTGTTCTTTAATATATTTTAATTCTCAAGAGAACTGTTAGAATTTATTTTTCTATTGCTTTTTTAGGATATGCTGCTTAACCTTATTGATGTAGTTGAAAAATCCAGAATGTCTGTATATTCTTCAGTTTCCTCTATTACCTTCTTTGTGTATCTTATGTGTTACCTGTGATATTAGTGCATTTAAACTGGACTGTTGCCACATATTTGTTTGTTTGATTTTAATTCCATATCTAATAATCCCTCCCTAAAGCCTAGGAAGAAAACAATCCATTTCCTTCTGCTTCTAATAGGAGCCACTCAGCTAGAGCTCCTGCATGTATTGTTTTTATAAATTTGTCCA